GAGTTACGATCATCGGCATGGTCATTTTCGTAACTCGATGTTTTCGTAACTCGATGTCCGTAACTCGAACACTATATCATCTCGAAAAAAAACGACTATTCATAATGATGAACTTCAAGTAGAAGGATATCTGTGAAAGTTGAATAACTTTGCAGCTGAACTATGATTTTTCTCGTCATACTCTAACCATGAATCAAGTTGTTACCAATGTGTAAATGGATGGACTATCATCCCGTTCTTACGCACGGTCAATACAGTGGGTTTAATTTTATCACGTGCACTTTAACGTTACTTAGCAGCACGCGCCATTATTTCTCGCGACAGTAAAATAAGTGTGAAATGAATGTATTTAAAAAGTAATTAATATGATGCATACATACTGACGAGATCTGAATTGTTATGATTGATGCGTTTCTAAAAAGGGTTTTAATTATGTTTGCATTCGACGTACTTAACCGATCTCCTACACGAAACACAAAGCTAATATTGTTACCATGTGGCCATCCACATCATCACACTGTGCTCCAACTTTCACACAGTTTCACGGCAGATCCGTCCGAAGTCCGATAAGAACATTCAAACTATATTCACAAAGAAGTCAGATAACGTAAAGAGATAAGGCTTGATCGGAATAGTCCGAAACTGTGTCAAATGTTCCGATGCCACGAAGCGGTTATCAATGACGTCACTATAAATATTGGGGCATATAAAGTTAGAGCACTTAGAATATAAATGAGCATATTTGCATACTTGTGACATGATTGAATTTAAATTTCAATAAACATGTTTTTAAAAATGTAAATTTGTAGAAAGAAAGCTATTGGCATCTATTTTGATATTAAACAACCAATTGTACAAAACACATAATAATAACGTAATTTGTTTATTTTCTAAACGCTTCACTTAAAACGGGAAACAGGAATTGAGTCCAAAGCGACATACGCTAAAAAAGGCTCATGGGTAGACGCTTGTTTGTAAACAATGACACACTATGGCCATCTGACGCATGCACATTTGACGACTCCCCCGCTTTAAGTTTAAAGCGGTAGGGTCGTCACCTGCGCACGCGCGGGAATTGAGTCCCGAGCGACGATAACAACACATGCTAAAGCGCAAAGGCTCATGGTTAGACGCTTGTTTGTAAACAATGACACGCCTATAACCATCTGACGCATCCGCAGGTGACGACTCCCCTGCTTTAAAGGAAACATCAAGCCAAACAACATAATGACTCCTCAGAAAGAGCTCCACAAATATTGGAGAATGCAATTTACAGTTTTTTTAAACCACTTTTCATTCTCTAGATATTTAACTTTTCATCA